GTACCTCTGGTGCAAATTACTGACCTCTGTCATCATTTTAAGTGGGGGAACTTGCACAATCGGTGGCTGACTAAATACTTTTTTGCCCCACTGTATTTCCCTTTTCATTCCACCTAATTAAATTTCCTTACATAATTTAATATTTTTTGTTTCATTATTATTTTGTTTTAGAACTCTTGCTAATAACCTCTAAAGTTGTATTTATTGTAGTTCATAACAGATGGGGATCTCTAGTCCTAGTTTTTATTGATCCTTTGAGACGTCATTTTGTACCTCTGAATATTTGTGTTTAAATGTGTGTTTGTTTGTTTAATGTGGGTCCTATCAAAGGCTTTTTAATGTAACTTTTTACACGATCTACTTCTTGTTGTGTTGTAGATTAGACATTGAGGAGATTAAAAAGACTGTACAAAATGGGACGTCATCAGTTTTATCAAAAAAGCTTTTGATTCTTTTTCTAAGTGTCTCTGTTAACTGATGGATGCTTTACAGGAGTGTTACGTCCATAACCTCCTGAGGATAACAGTGTACGTCCCCTCCATTCGACGAGACCTACTTGAGCTGATTATTGGAAAACTGCTGAAACTGGATGTGAGTGGTACACCTCCAAATTCTGCTGTTTGTAGTTTAATTTGAACTTACAGTAGTAACTCAACATGAGCTGTGTGGTAGGTGCTCAGGTAGGTTTATTAAGTTTTGGATAGTGATACAGTTTGTCTGATTTTGTCTCTGGTTATCGCTATAGTGCAGAGCTTTCATTCAAGAGGTTTAAGAAAAGAAGCTGCATCCACACAGGGAGTGATTCAGTCATCGCGCGTCATTTTGAGGCTCCAGTTTCGTAGATAATCCTTTAATGGTTGTATCTCACTCAGCACTGTCCTACACTCTTATTGGTAGTTGCTTCAGCGCGTGGAAGTTCAGAGAAGTTTCTGGTCCTGCCCTCTTCACTTCTCCAGCTCAAAGATAAGAGGCAGCGCTCATATCCCTCTGATTTGGTGCCTGTCCATTGGGTTTCACCACAGTGGCGTCTGGACTGTTTTCTCTGCTTATGTGCCATAAATTTCATGTCTTTTTCGAGTCTCGGGTGCTGTTTGGCAGTGTGACTGAGACCTGCGGTTTATGTCCATAGAAATCACCAGCATGAGCATGCACTTAGTAACAAGACAACCTGGGTCACAAGTCAATAATTGTGTTATTAACATCAGATCTACCGCCGAGTCCTGTTGGACTTGAGAGCCCGTGAAACGTGGAGGTAGCTGACAGGCCGAGTCTCTGGGAATAGCTGAAGCAAAAATGTGGGTATGGGAGTAATTCACTGAGAGCTTGGAGCAGTAATTTTGGTTTCTGTCACATAACTCAGACGGGGGAACCACTTCCTGCTCACCGCATCACTGGTTACCTTTTGAATTCAGAGTCCATTTCAAGATTGCGGTTCTGACTTTTAGAGCTCTTCATGGAGAAGCATCAGCTTACATCAGTGAACTTTCATAGCTATGTATCTCCAGCAGGTTCCTGAGGCCTTGTGATCAGGGACTC